ATTATCAGTAGAGCTACGTTTCAGTGTTGATGGTTTAGCAACATACCCTTAAAAGAACAGACCAACGAAAGCTTCCTCTTATTGCTTATTGTGCGTATTATATATTAAGTAAAAAGTATTCTAATTAATTCTACTAAAGATTCACTAATTGAATACTGAGAGAAATTAATTAATGTGAGAAAAGTACTAAAAGAAAGACTTAATCCTACTCCATCCGTCCAATTATATTATTGTCTATTATATTATTTTGGAATGTCCTACAATACTTGTCCATTATATTATTTTGGAATGTCCTACAATACTTGTCCACTTTATGAAATCAATGAATAGTTTACCCCTTATCATTAATTATAGTCATTTTTCAATTATATTTTTTAATACATTATATTTATTATATTTAAAGAATGATATAGTAATATTACTTTTTTATTTCTAATTTCTTAAAAAATGTATAAAGTCAATACTGGAGAAATATTATTGGAAAGAGAATAGTTGATATCAGTCACCAAAGCAATACAACTAAGTAGTAATAAGTGGGGCCCATGTTTTCAGAAAGTTGTGCGAATTATTTGTAGTTTTAAGGGGACAAATTAGTCCAATACATACAAAAAATGAAATGCAGCTGCACTACTCCTTTAACTAACCAATTGAATTACATTTTTCATGTGAAATTACAAAAGTAACATCCGAGGATTTTTTTGTCAATTCCCATAAACGGGAAGCTCCTCACATTCACTCTTATTAATAGTAGTAATATAATAATTTTCAAAGTTAAATTAGATTGTATTAATTTGATATTTTAAACAAAAAATTTAAATATACAAAATCTATACAAAAAGTACTATAAATTGTAATTTTTTTGCATATGAATATGATGAAAAAACACATTATAAAATATTAGTTAAAATTCTTATAGTTTGACTCTAAAAAGGAAATCATAACAATTAAAAGTGTATAGAGAGAGTAATAAATAGCTAATTAAATTTCAAGAGCTTTAAAATAAAAGGTTGAAAAAAAGAATAAGATAGACAACATATATTAAAAATTGAAAACATATAAATAATAAATGGGCCCAAATGAACACTTGTCATGTGGTAAGTAGTAGATATTCCCACTTATTTTATATATATATATATATATATATATATATTCTACTATATTATAAAAGCTTTAAAAAGCCCCACAAGTATAATATATAATATTGAAGATTGGAAAAAATCTCAATCTTGAATATTATATATTATATTTGGGCCTAAACTCCTTTTTATAATATAGTAGAAGTAGAATAGAATAGAATAGAAATAGAAAATTTATCTATCTCCTTCTTTAATTATTATGTATTTTGGCCACAAATTATTTGTCAAATAATGAGCACAAAGTATTACGTGTGAGTCTCTTGACAAATTAATTAATAGCCAATTTTAACACGCACCAAACTTCTGCTAATAATATTCTTTAGTGAAAGAGATATTGATGTGAGATACTAAATGATTAATTAGGGTGTAAATCATACTTCTTATGATATATTTGAAAAAATTTATAACAGAAAAGAATCATATTTGTCTTCTTACTTTCAGAAAAATGATATAGTTATGATTTATTATTATCATACTTTTTTTTTTTATATATATTTATCTTTATCATCTAATTTTGGATACATATTTATTCTTGGACTATTAACTTTCACATCTCACTCTTGTTATTATACGTGGCGCCTAAATTCCAAAATATCTAGAAAACATGATTACTTAAGGACAAAGGTCAATTTTCAAGCCTTAATTTTCGTGGCCAATAATTTTTTTAGGATCTTTACATAAATAATCAGATAAATTTACTGATTGTTTTTTCTGGACGTAGATTATCCACCGTTATAAATTTATATATATAAATTTACCGATTATTTTTAATTTAAATTATTAGGTAGACAACGATTTAAATTAATTCCCTTATATTAATTTTAAGTTATTGAGTAGACGACAACTTTGATTATTTTCTTTTGATTTTGTTGTGTTACTTTAATCAACCCGTGTCCCATTATTTCACATGTCATATACGATATGGTTGTGAAATGATCTTACATAAAAACAAAACATGTGCAAGTACAATTATGTAAAAGGATAGAATTCTTGAATAGTGGTGAAAAAGCATCTTGTACCTAACTAGCTCTATAAAATATCAAGCTATAAACACGAAATTACTTATGAGTAAATAAAAAAGTATATAATTAGTAGTTAAAAGGATTTGTTACAAACAACAGATAAAAAAGATAAGTGCAATTTCATAATTACAAAAAAAAAAAAAAAAACTAGTGTTACAAAATGATTTCTAAGGGATAGTTTTGGAAAAATTAGGAAAATTCACTTAAATAACTATCCTTCGGAAAAAAATAGTCGACAGATATATAACATATGTATATTAATTAACGGTTGTGAATAGTTTTCATCGAGCATCAAAATATGTAACTTTCCCTTGATATTATCCCATATGTTAGGTCATGACCAGACAATTTTTATATTGTTGGGGCTGCAAATTATACTCTCTAAGAGAAAAGTTTGATGACTTTAATTATTAAGAGTGTGTTTGGTACGAAGGAAAATATTTTTCGGAAAATGTTTTTCAATTTTCTCATGTTTGGTTGGGTTAAATGTTTTGGAAAAAGTTTTTCAAATCAACCTATTTTCCTCAAATTTAAGGAAAATGACTTCCCTTCAAAACTTAAGGAAAACATTTTCCAAAACTCTCTTCCAACTTCCAATTAAAAAAAAAATTGTTGAAAAAATCAATTTATTTGGTCCCTACCCTCAAACCAGCCCCCAACCACCACCCCAAAAAAATAATAATTAAAGTTTGTTTTTAAATTCAATATTTTTACCCCACCCTCATCCCTATCCCCACCCCCTACCACCACCCCTCCCAAAAAAATATTAAAAGTTGTTTTTAAAAGATATTTCTAATTTCAATTTTTTATTTTTTTACACCCCTACCCTCGACCCCCGCACCCCCCACCCACACCCACACCCACCCACCCCATACCAGCCCCCCCCCCCCTCAAAAAAAAAAAAAATTTTAAGTTTGTTTTTAAAAAATATTTTCGACTTCAAAATTTCATTTTTTCCACCCCCCACCCACCCCCACCCCCTACCAGCCCCCCCACCCCCCAAAAAAAATTTTAAGTTTGTTTTTAAATAATATTTTCGACTTCAAAATTTTATTTTTTCACTCCTACCCTCGACCCACCCACCCACGCCCTACCAGCCCCCGCACCCCCCAAAAAAATTTTAAGTTTGTTTTTAAAAAATATTCTTAACTTCAAAATTTCAATTTTTCACCCCTACCCTCGACCCCCCCACCCCCTACCAGCCCCCACCCCCAAAAAAAAATTAAGTTTGTTTTTTAAAAATATTTTCAATTTCAACAATTATTTTCTACTCAAGTAAAAATAAAAGAAATTTTTCAAAAATATTTTTCATTCATAAATCAAACACAAAATCTTTTTCAGAAAATATTTTCTACTCACCAACCAAACATGAGAAAATAAGTCAAAAATCAACTTATTTTCCAAGAAAACATTTTCTAGGAAAACATTTTCCATGGAAAACATTTTCCTTCATACCAAACACACCCCAAGTCTTTAACACAAGATAGATTTATATAAAGACACAACAAGTGACTACCAAGGTAATTAGACAAAAAAATGATGCTCTTTCTACTCTTTGTAGCCCTTCTTATCATTCTTATTTTCCTTCTTCCTAAAGCCAAAAAGGGTGAAAAAAACACACAGCCACCAGGTCCTGTAGGCCTGCCATTCATTGGAAATTTGCATCAATTTGATAGTTTAACCCCTCATATCTATTTTTGGAAACTTTCCAAGAAATATGGAAAAATATTCTCATTAAAACTTGGTTCTACTCCAATGGTCGTAGTTTCTTCAGCAAAATTAGCAAAAGAAGTGTTGAAGACACAAGATTTAGTATATTGTAGTAGACCCTCTATTCTTGGCCAACAAAAATTGTCTTACAATGGTCGCGACATAGTCTTTGCACCTTACAATGACTATTGGAGAGAGATGAGAAAAATTAGTGTGCTTCATCTATTTAGTCTCAAGAAAGTGCAATTATATAAACCAATTCGTGAAGATGAAGTATCAAGAATGATCAAGAAAATATCTCTACATGCTGCTTCTTCTCAAATTACAAATTTGAGCAATTTAATGATTTCGCTTATAAGTACAATTATATGTAGATTTGCTTTTGGTGTTAGGTTTGACGATGAAGCACATGAAAGGAAGAGATTTGATTATCTATTGGCTGAAACTCAAGCAATGATGGCTAGCTTTTTCGTGTCTGATGTTTTTCCTTTTTTAGGTTGGATTGATAAACTTACTGGATTGACAGATAGACTCGAGAAGAATATAAAGGAATTGGATGAGTTTTATGAAGAACTCATTGAGCAACATCAAAATCCCAATAGGCCAAAATCCATGGAAGGAGATATTGTTGATCTTTTGCTTCAATTGAAGAAAGAGAAATCAATACCAATTGATCTCACTTTGGAGGACATAAAAGGACTTCTTATGGTAATTTCACATGTCTTAACTCAATACATTGCTATTTTTAAGATAATTCGATAGCTATTTTAATTAAATTATTTGCTTGTCTATAGAATGTGTTAGTTGCTGGATCAGATACTAGCGCGGCTGGGATAGTATGGACAATGACAGCTTTGATGAAGAATCCAAAAGCCATGAAGAAAGTTCAAGAAGAAATCAGAAAGTCAATTGGGAACAAAGGCATTGTGAATGAAGATGATATACAAAATATGCCTTATTTCAAAGCAATGATAAAAGAGGCTTTTAGATTATATCCACCAGTTCCACTTCTAGTGCCAAGAGAATCAATGAAAAAATCCACACTAGAAGGATATGAAATTCAGGCCGGAACTATAGTTCATGTTAATTCATGGGCAATTGCAAGGGACCCTGAAATATGGGGAAATCCAGAAGAATTTATACCTGAGAGATTTCTGAATAGCGACATTGATTACAAGGGACAAAACTATGAGCTAATTCCATTTGGAGCAGGTCGAAGAGGTTGCCCCGGAATGACACTTGGGGTTGCATCCATGGAACTTGCATTATCAAATCTTCTTTATGCATTTGATTGGGAGTTACCTCATGGGATGAAAAAAGAGGACATTGACACAAATGTTAGGCCTGGAATTACCATGCATAAGAAAAATGAGCTATGTCTTATCCCTAAAAGTTATTTTTAAAATATACTCATATGTGAATCTAAGACGAATTTTTAAAATATACTCAGATGTGAATCTAAGGCTAGTTTTGTAATAATAAATTGTAACGACTTTAAATCTTGAAATCACATTACACCCTCCTTCCATTTTGATAATCTTTGCCTTATAATCCCTTTAGTCATCCACTACTCGATTTATTTGATACTATTCAATGGCCCTTAGTTAAGTTGGTGTGTATATATATATAGTTATTATAAAAATGTGTATCGTAGATCCAAATCTTGAATAATGAAATAAATATAACTCTTAAAAAGTTTTAAGGATAATATTATTTATGAAATTGTTATTCTATAGGCAGAGTTGGTATGCTTCACTTTTGAGATGTTTAGGCCAAGAGTACTGTATAGGGATTGTACATTCATGAGTTGTAGTTCTCATGGAGTCATGTGTGGACGTTATCGCTCATACAAATCCCAATCAAAAAGCAAACTGCGGCGCCCACATTGATAGAAGCCCATCTTCTCATGGTTTGATCAATTGAAAGACATCCTCTTGGTGCAATTACGTAAGTAACAAAAAGAATTTGTTTTTTGTTTGATGTTACTCGAGATGATTTTTATACATAAAAAAACTGAAAATTTTATTTTTGTTATTTAATTATTGCAAATGGTTGTAGGAGATCATTTTGTACCCCATATGTGCACCTTAATATATATTAAGACATTTCAAGTGGCCATTATTTTGTGAAGCTGGACAACAAAATGATGCTCTTTCTACTCTTTGTAGCTTTTCCTATCATTCTTATTTTTCTTCTTCCCAAAGCCAAAAAGAGTGGCAAAAACAATCTGCCACCAGGTCCTAGAGGCCTCCCATTCATTGGAAATTTGCATCAATTTGATAGTTTAACTCCTCATATCTATTTTTGGAAACTTATCAAAAAACATGGAAAAATTTTCTCATTGAAATTTGGTTCTACTCCAATAGTTGTAATTTCTTCCGCAAAGTTAGTAAAAGAAGTGTTGAAGACACAAGATTTAGTATTTTGTAGTAGACCTTCTCATCTTGGTCAGCAAAAATTATCTTACAATGGTCATGATATTGGCTTTGCACCTTACAATGATCATTGGAGGGAAAGACGAAAAATATGTGTTCTTCATCTATTTAGTCTCAAGAAAGTGCAATCTTTTAGTCCAATTCGCGAAGATGAAGTCTCAAGAATGATCAAGAAAATATATGAACAAATTGTTAATTCTAAGATCACCAATTTGAGCAATTTAATGATTTCGCTTACTAGTACAATTATTTGTAGAATTGCTTTCGGTGTTAGGTTTGATGAAGAAGGACATGAAAGGAAGAGATTTGATTGTCTTTTAGGCGAAGCTCAAGCTATGTCCGTTAGCTTTTTTGTGTCTGATTTTTTTCCTTCTTTAAGTTGGATTGATAAACTTACTGGATTGACAAATAGACTTGAGAAAATTTTCCAGGATTTGGATGAGTTTTACGAAGAACTCATTGAGCAACATCAGAATCCCAACAGGCCAAAATCCATGGAAGGAGATATTCTTGATCTTTTGCTACAATTGAAGAAAGAGCAATCAACTTCAATTGATCTCACTTTGGATGACATCAAAGGAATACTTATGGTAATTTTCCGAACCTACCTACTTCTACATGCATCTCGCATACACATATATACATATACTTAATTATATGCATATACACATATGTACATCTGGATACATATACATAATGGTGAAAATTGAACGAGTTGAATCAAATATATATGGGTGGGTCATCATGGGTTATTGATCTAACCCATTAGAAATTTACTTAAGTCAAAATGAGTTAGGTAAAGATAGGTCAAATGACAGGTCATAATTCAATACGGCCCAACATGACAACCTTCCAACCATTTATATTTTGCATTTCTAAAGAAAAAACAAATGAAAGCTAACTTACCATTCCTAAATTGTTTGCTTAAGTTCTTCCAAATTTATGTAGGATGTGTTCGTTGCTGGATCGGACACTAGCGCGGCTGCAGTAGAATGGGCAATGACAGCCTTAATAAAGAATCCAAAAATCATGAAGAAGGTCCAAAAAGAAATCAGAGAAACAATAGGGACCAAAGGCATTGTGAATGAAGATGATATCCAAAATATGTCTTATTTCAAATCAGTAATAAAAGAGACATTTAGATTATATCCACCAGCTCCAATCCTAATACCAAGAGAAACAATGAAAAAATCCACACTAGAAGGGTATGAAATTCATCCAGGAACTATAATTCATGTGAACTCTTGGGCAATTGCGCGAGATCCTGAAATATGGGAGAATTCAGAAGAATTTATACCTGAAAGATTCTTGAATAGTGATATCGATTTCAAGGGTCAAAATTTTGAGTTGATTCCATTTGGAGCAGGACGGAGAGGTTGTCCAGGGATTACACTTGGGGTTGCATCTATGGAACTTGCATTATCAAATCTTCTTTATGCATTTGATTGGGAATTACCTTATGGGATGAAAAAAGAGGACATTGACACATATGTTAAGCCTGGAATCACCATGCATAGGAAAAATGATCTTTGTCTTATCCCTAGAAAATATTTCTAAATAATTTAGGGTGAATTCTTTAAGGTCGCCTGAATTTATCATTGCTTTCGATTCGAATTATATATATATATATATATATATATCGAATATATTCTACCTTTCGCCTCTTTTGATATATCAGAACTTTCTTTTTAGTTCTCCACTACTGCTTGGTTTATTTCACACTTTTCAATTAGAATCTTAGTAATTGGGCTGATTAATCCCTTTAAAACTTCTATTGAAATTCTATTTTATTATTTTTGTTAGTTAATTTACTTTCAATTATTCTGCTCGCATAGAACCCAAATCATATCAACATTTAACTTTCAACTAATTAAATAAAACTCTAGTTTGATCCTTTGTGCTCATTAGAACTGTCAAAATGGGCTGACCCAACTCAACCCAACTCAATTCAACCCTAACGGGCTAGAGAGTTAAATGGGTTGGGACGGGCTGACCTTTTTAATTAAAGGACCTATAAAATAGCAGCCCAACCCAGCCCTAAGTGGACCACGGGTTGGGACGGGTTGGCCCTTCAACTAAAAAATGGACAATATTTTTCTCTTAGAAAGAATACGAACGTTGATAAATTACACATACTTCAGTGAATATTTACAAAACAAATACATAATAGCTAAGATACAACATTCATAAGTTTCATCCGAGCAAAAATCATTACATGATCACTATTTTCATAAACAAGACAATAAAGGAAGTGAAAAATTAGGCATAAAAACAAAAGTAAAAGGGGTCAAAGATTCATAGTTATAATGGAGTAATGAACTTGGGCTAATAAGAAAATTTAGTGGGCTAATGACCCTAAAATGTAAAAGATATGTAAAAAATATAGTCTTTATTTTACATTGATATTTTAAAAATATTTATTGACAAAATCTTAACAAGTAAAACACTACTTAAAAAATATATAATAAATATTTTAAAAATTCACAGCCGGCGGACTGGACTCAAAGGCTTGCGGGTTGGGCCTACGAGGCCAGCGGGCCAAATGAGACTGCGCTAAAAAGCCTCATTCCTAAATGGGCTAAAAAAATTGAGTCCAACCTCATTTAATTCAAGGATTGGGTTGAACCAGCCTAACGGGTCAAACCCATTTTGAAAGCTCTAGTGCTCATGAATCTTTTCAAATTTAACAACGGATTGTATACCATCACATCATTTAGTTACCTTTATTTTTTATTAAGTTTGTATTGTTACTTCATATTTAAAGAAAATATAATTCTAAAAAATAGTCTAATAATATAACATTTCTTTTTTCTATATAAAAGGAAAAAGCACACACAAGTCAATTGATTAAAATAAAATATACTTAATCATATCTAACAAGTATCAAGATATAAAAGTTATCCATAATTGCGAATTAATTGGGTGTGCCATTTTTCCCATCAATATATATATTTCCTCCTTTCCTTTTTAGTTGTTATGACAAGGTTTAGCACAATCCTTAAAAAAATATTAATGAAGAGTGTTGTTTAACCAATATATATATATATATATATATATATATATATATATATATATATATATATATATATATATATATATAATTCCTTAATTTTATCTATATATTTGCCTCTTAATTCCAAAATAATTAATGCTAAGGGTAAAGTTAGAAAAAGATATCTAATGAATTCTCTTGTAATTATTTAAATTGACAATTATTTTGAAATAAATATTTTTAGTATACATAGGAACGGATGGAGCTTAATATAGCCTTTGTCTAATAATGCTATCTAAATATTTATGCTGCCTAATATATTTGTAAATAATATTGATTGCTAGATAGAGGACAGACATATTTTATGAAAAATAGCAAGGTGCCTAATTTTATGAGAAAAGTCAAAAGTTGCAACTTGGTGACAAGTACTGAATTATGGGACAATATGATTTTTCTATGTCACCTTTCATGACTTAAATGTACAATTTACTTTTTAAAAAGATTTCTTGTTGCAGTTTTAAAAAAAGATCAAGGAAAAAGATAAAAATTGATTTGTTTACTGATAGGTATTGCCATTATTCCACCACTAATTTGGTCCCATTTCATGACTTTCATAATTTCCATTATATATATATATATATATATATATATATATATATATATATATATATATTCTTTGAGATCGATTGAGATCCCTTCCAATAAGTTTAATTAGTCATGTATTGTTCAATGGTTAACTAAGATTATGTCACATCATTTATATAAAATCAATGGCTGTTATTTATTTGATACTAAAAATACAAATAATAATAACTTAAGTCATTCCCAGCCCCTTAAAGTTGTTCGCATAATTCGCTTAAACACTTTAACTAAAACTTATACCTATTGAACACCTATACCCTTTAAAATTAATATCTATTTGACATTTTTTTTTACAATCAGCTCAAAATATTAGATATGTAATACACTCATTGTGACATGACAAATTGATAAATTAAATGATGACATGTGCCATTTAAATCTAAAAATGTATTCTAAAAAATAACTATTTTAGTCTATTTAGCTAACTAAAAAATTAAAAAAGAATTTTCTAAAAAAAGACCACCTACACACCACTCCATCCCTTTCACCGGCTAAAAGTTAATTTCCCTTTCAATCGAATAGCATCAAAATTTTTCACTCATTCCCTTTATTTCTTTCCATTACTAATCATTTATTATAATTACAAGAAAAATAATAACTTTTGCCAAAAAAAATATTAATTTCTGTTATCTTCATCGGGAAAAATAGAGTTATACCGGAATATTTGAGACTTAGATCTATGTATTAACTAAAAAATGAAAGATGGAAAAAATCAAAAAGAAAGAGAGAGGTGGTGGGGGTGTGGTGCAAGGAGATGATAACAAAGAGATGACATTTCTATGACAAGTTGGCTGTAAATGGGGCCTTTTCTTCTTCTTCTTCTTCTTTTTGCTAATTAGTTTTTTTTTTTTTAATAATAGTTGTATAAGTTGGAAAATAAAAAAATAGTAAAAAAATAATTTCAACTGTTTAACGCGTTTAAAAAGGGTGAAACACACTTTTTTTTGCCAGGTTAACATTTTGTGTTTAATAAGAATGATTTTTGAACAAATAAGGTGTTCAATAGATACAAGTCTTAATTGAGGTGTTTAAGTGAAATATGCGGACAACTTTGAATGACTATGGATGACTTAAGCCAATAATAATTCACTATGAGTTTCTCTTTCAACCTCACTCCTTTGTTGCCACTTGCCACCACACATCGTCTTCACATCTCTCATATTTTAGATATTCGAATTAAGTTTTGTTTCAACTGAACACTTTAAGTTCTAATAATTAATTTCAATTTTACATTTTTTATTCAAATTAATAAAAAAGCTTTTACGTTTAATTTCATTCATCTCTTAAATAGTTAATTAGCCTAATAGCATAAAATATGTTATTTTCTTTAATACTACGCATCCGATAGCTCAATGAACCATAAAACTTCAGACATTTTCTATTTAACATTGAAAATATTTATCTTCCTATCAAATACACTTATTATTTGTAATTTATCAATGAATAGAAGCCGTTGGATTACATATAGCGATGACGTGGCATAATCTTAGCTAACCATTAAACAATGCTGGAGAGGATGTGATTTTATAGATGCAATATCCATTTTGTCGGCTACGAATTTATAGGATATAATATGGGTACGTGAATTTATAATTTTTTTTTGGTAAAATGAAATATTTTTATATAATAATTTTAAAAATTAATATAATATTATCTGCTGACATTATAATACAAAAAAAATAAAAATCCACTTGATCGAATGTTGTTGTTCTATAAATGTATAACTCTTCTTCTTTTTCCTCCTTTTAGTATTCATCTTATTAAGGATTTACATTATCAGTTTACCATAACGCTTATTGACATATAAAAAAAATATTTTGTTGCAAATAAAAAAGATATTGAGGAATTGTTTGCCGTATGTTGTCCGTCTTATTTTTCAAGTATATGGTTCCTCTTGTTATGTATAATTACTTGTATGTCAAATAAATTGAAATGAATAGCTTTTTAGGTGGCGTAATAGTCTAAAATTCTTTTAATTATATTATATTGACAAGAAGTCATATACTCCTTATCTTTAATATAAAAAATAATAAAAAAAAGGCGACAAGTTTGACCCAAGATCCATTTTTTCTATATATGTAGGCCATTTCAGGTGACTTGCATTATTTTGTGTAGTTGGACAACAAAATGATTCTCTTTCTACTCTTTGTAGCCTTTCCAATTTTGCTCATTTTTCTCCTTAGTGGAAAAAGAAATCTGCCACCAGGTCCTATAGGCCTTCCATTTATTGGAAATTTGCATCAATATGATAGTTTAACTCCTCACCTCTATTTTTGGAAACTTTCCAAAAAATATGGAAAAATCTTCTCATTGAAACTTGGTTCTTCTACTATGGTGGTAGTTTCTTCAGCAAAATTAGCAAAAGAAGTATTGAAGACACAAGATTTAGTATTTTGTAGTAGACCTTCTCTTCTTGGACAACAAAAATTGTCATACAATGGTCATGATATTGCCTTTGCACCTTATAATGACTATTGGAGAGAAATGAGAAAAATTTGTGTTCTTCAATTATTTAGTCTAAAAAAGGTACAATCTTTTAGTCCGATTCGTGAAGATGAAGTATCAAGAATGATCAAGAAAATATCTCAACTAGCTGCGTCTTCTCAAATTACAAATTTGAGTAGTTTAATGATTTCATTAACAAGTACGATAATTTGTAGAGTTGCTTTTGGTGTTAGGTTTGATGAAGAAGCGCATGAAAGAAAGAGATTTGATTATCTTTTAGCTGAGGCTCAAGCTATGATGGCTACCTTTTTTGTGTCTGATTTTTTTCCTTCTTTAAGTTGGATTGATAAACTTACTGGACAAAAAGATAGACTCGAGAGAAATTTCAAGAATTTGAATGAGTTTTACGAAGAACTCATTGAGCAACATCAGAATCCCAATAGGCCAAAATCCATGGAAGGTGATATTCTTGATCTTTTACTTCAATTGAAGAAAGAGCAATCAACACCAATTGATCTCACTTTGGAGGACATAAAAGGACTTCTAATGGTAATTTCCCATGTCTCGAATCTACCTAGTAGTACATGCGCTCGCACACATATTTAATTATATGCATATATATACATTTGTACTCATGTAGAGGTGACAAATATATTGACAGGTTGAATCAAACATAAATTATCGTTCAAAATTTAGTAAGTTAAAATGAATTGTATTAAGATTTGTCAAATGAGGGGTCATAATTCAATATGCCCAACATGACACAACCTCCCATCCTTTTATTTATATTTTGCTTTCTAAAAAAAGTTGAAAACTAATTTGGACTGTAATATATGACCCATCTTGTTACACTATTTGATTATTTTAACCCATTAGTATAACACTAGGGACATAGTGGATTAAATCACTCTAGAAAATTACAAACATCTTTTAAGAGCACACTCGAACACCCCCTTAAAATTAAGAACATCGTAATAGGTATTTTGAAGGTATCCTCAAACTAGAAGAGCTTTAGAAACGAGGATTTAGAACATCACATATTGATTAATTAAAGAGAGATTCACTAATGAAAAGAAAGTTCGTTTCTTGGGATCCTTCCTCCTTCATGTCATTTTGAATTTAACCTGTTAAGTCAAGTCAACAAACGGATCAATATACAACTCGTTTAAACTTAGTAGAGCGGATTACTAAAAGATGAATTGATTTTGCCATTTCTAATATGTAGCATAGATGTGTCCATTGCATTGACAAATTTCTTTTCTTATTAATTCACTGTCAATTTTGTGTAGAATGTGTTGGTTGCTGGATCAGACACTAGTGCAGCTGTAGTAGTATGGGCAATGACTGCCTTGATGAAAAATCCAAAAGTCATGAAGAAAGTCCAAGAAGAAATTAGAAAATCAATTGGGACTAAAGGCTTTGTGAATGAAGATGATATTCAAAATATGTCTTATCTCAAAGCAGTTATAAAAGAGACATTTAGATTATATCCACCAGATCCACTCCTAATACCAAGAGAATCAATGAAAAAATCCACACTAGAAGGGTATGAAATTCAGCAAGGAACTATAGTTCATATTAACGCATGGGCAATTGCAAGGGATCCTGAAATATGGGAAAATCCTAAAGAATTTATACCTGAGAGATTTTTGAATAGCGATATTGATTTCAAGAAAGAAGATTACGAGTTAATTCCGTTTGGAGCAGGAAGAAGAGGATGCCCCGGGATTACACTTGGAATTACAGCCATAGAACTTGCATTATCAAATCTTCTTTATGCGTTTGATTGGGAGTTACCCTATGGATTGAAAAAAGAGGACATTGACACAAATGTTAGGCATGGAATCACCATGCATAAGAAAAATGATCTTTGCCTTATCCCTAATAAATATTTCTAAATACACTTCCACAATAATTTAGGGTGAGTTATCATTGCTTTCAACTCGAATTAGTGTACAAATTTTCAATAATGTGAATTTGATTTAATAAAATCATATTGATTATGATTTTCTTTAGTTCTCCACTACTCTTGTTTATTTGACACTATTCAATAAACCTTAGTTAGGCTGGTGTATTATAATTGGGGAAGATATAATAGTATAATTGTCAAGAAAGTTTGTTAAAGAATAAAAGAAATCTCACGTCGATAGTTAATGAGATGATAATTCTTTCTTCTTTCAAAATGTCTAAAATATTGATTGGATATAGTGAGTATGTAATGTTATGCCGTGGTCTTTTTCTTTGAAAAAAAGAAGATACGTACAATTACTTCAAGGTATGCACATTAAGTAGTTATTCCAAAAAAATATTTGGTCCCACTTTCACTTTCATAATTTCCATTTTATGACTATATCATATGGTTTAATTGAAATGATAAAAATTATGAGTAGTACATTCTTGACCAACTTTAATTTGTGCAAAAAAAAAAATCCAACTCACTCTCCAATTTTTAACCATGGAACTTTATCCCCTTTTATCATAGGAAAAATAATCATTGAGAGGTGAGTTTATAAATGCAATGTTACGTTTATTTTGAACTATAAATTATGACATTTCTTCTTGCTTCACACATACCAATAAGAAGATTATCTTTTATTACCCACAATTAACATGTTAATTAAGACTCTATAGTAATAAATTACACCACAAGGGATTAAGGGGGTGTTTGAATGGGCTTTTTAAAAGTTACTTATAAGTCAAAAGCTAAAATTCATACGCTAGAGACACCCAACTTTTGATTTTTGATTTTTTTTTTTGCTACTTTTTCGGTCTGAAAAAAGTGCTTAAGTTACCCATACACTTCTAAAAAATAGTTTAAAATCCAGAAACCACTTAAAATAAGTCAATCCAAGCACCAACATCTAAGCATTGAGAGATCAGACTATAATAAAGAATTTAACTAATATACATTGACAACATAATTTGTTTTTACACTATCAGTTCAATTTAATATGTTACAGCAAGTTATATGCAATATAGGTTGTTTGACCAAGTTTTTTAAAAAACTAAAAATGTTTTATACACTTTATTTTATTTTTTAAAGAAATGTGCTTATTTTAGAGAGTTGAGATGTTTAGACAATTTTTTAGGAAGAAAATGAACTCTTCTGAATAATAGTGAAAAAAAATAGTTTTTCTCAAAAGCACTTATGGAACCTTACACAAGCAAAAAATGTAACTCTAATATTTATGTCACGCCCCGAGCCTACACCCTAGACGTGGCTGACACTCGAAGACCATTGCTGGCCCCCAAACGAACCCTTGGCCTGACTTTCTTAACTCAGCGGAAAACTCAATGCAATGCAAGGTTTTAAAACAACCTGACTAAAATAAAATCTGGCCAAAAAGGCAACTCAAGCCTCAAAATAGAATATTTACATATATACATAGATGAGAGACTCCCTACCAACTGACTGGCTGTCTATGAAGCCTCTAAAATACTGAGATGGATGTTGGAACAGACCCCACGACATCCTAATAGAACAAAACTTGAGAGAACAAAATAAACGAGTCCTCCGGAATGCAAAGAGGCTCACCACTGACTCTGAAGTACTCAACTGGATCAACGGCGAACCGGATGCTGGGCCTGGGTACCTGAATCTGCATCATCATAAGATGCAGGCCAACTAGCATCAGTACATTGAATGTACGAGTATGCGAGCTGGAAAGCTAAACCACAACTCAAGCTTGAAAGGAGTACAAATGAACTCTTACCTTGGCTCTGTTTAACTCTTGAATAACTGAACTCAATATATAAAGCAATACGACACATGCAATATATAAAGCTTGTAAAACAGTGTAAACAACTTAGCTTGTTAAAGATAAAACAATAACAACTAAACTTTACTTATATAAAATTAATATAACTTTAGTGAGAGATTCTTTAACAGACAACCACCACCATGAGCCCTAGTGGTGGTACAACGTTTTACCTCACGTTGCCCAAGGACCATCCTATACCTTGCCGTGATATAGAAAGTTACTTTACTTAGTGGATCCACTAGCTTAATCTTACGGATTCATCTAAAAAGTATGACCCGTTAACTCCTATGTTGGCGCATGGTTCTTATGGAGAGTTGAGTTTATATGAACTCGTGTCCCCAATTCGGTGCTCAAGACTACTCCCAAAAATACTTTAGCTCATAAGTGTTTTAAACACATCTTTCTTTATTTGAGATAATTACTCAAAACTTTGCCCGAAGGCTCACTTGGAAACAATGTTCCTTTTCTTGAAAACTAGCCCAAAGGCTCTTTTGGAATCATAGTTCCTTTCTTACTCAAATGTAAAAACATTTGGAAACTTCTTTGGGAATACATAGTTCCCTAATACTTTTGAGAAATGAACTCAACTTTAAACTCTTTACTCAACTTGAAACTCTTAACTTAACTTGAAACTTGACTTAACTTGAAACTTGAGCCTTAAAATGAAGTTAAAACATTCAACAAAGACTCTTGGAAAGCTTTAAAGACTTGTTTTGACTCCCTTCTTGAACTTCTAGACTCAACTCTTAACTTCCTTTGACTTGGAAACTTACTCTCCTTGAATTGGAATCATGGATTCAAGGTGTTTGATCACGTGTTATGGGCGAGTTCTTGACGTTTAAACGTACCTTGGGGTGTTGGAAACAACTTGGGAACATAGGTACAATACCTAGGAACATGTATGAGAAAGTGGGGAAAGAATGGGAAGACTTGGCGCTCTGAGAGGCGCGGAGCGCTAGACCTCAAACTTCAGAGAGGTCTGGTTGGGGCTCTGGTAGGGGCGGCGCCCCAAGGGCTGGACCTCAGAGTCCCTCTTGGGGTGCGCTGGCTGGCGCGACGCCCCAGCCCTTTTCCCCGAAAACTTGACTTTTCTCCTCCTTTTCTCCAACACTAAACCTTCTAACTTCAAAGCTTCATCCCCCCAAACACTTAGGATCATCAAAACCCTTAACATACACTAGATTCAACTCAGAAACACCACCGGAAACATACACCAAACCAACAAGAACTACAACACAACGCAACTACAACCTCAACAATTCCAACCAACAACTTCAATCAAACATAATCAATCTTTTCTCGAAATTAAACGAGCTTGGCGTGTGGGGGAAAGAACCAACCCAACACTATGAACTCACATACCTAATAGGGATCACCCCGACGATATCCACGACGATCTTTTGACGAAACCTAGCTTGACCTTCTCTTTTTCCTCTTCTTCTCCTCTTCACTCTTAAACCCTTACTTTCACTCTTTAAAAATGAGATAAACTGATCACAAATCATTCTTTCAACTTAATATATATCCAAAGACAAGGCTAGGGAAAAGACCAAAATACCCTTACCATTTCCGGACAGATTTCCTGCCAACTGCCCAACTTTCAAAGGGCTTAACTTGCTCATACGAACTCGGAAACGAGCAAACTCCATGGCGTTGGAAAGATCATTCCAAAAACTTTGTAACCATAACTGGAACCACACCTAGATCATCATGAGCTAGGAGTTATAACTGTTCAAAGTTGGCCAAAAACTCATTATTTTCCATACTTAGCCAAATTTCCAGATTTTTAATTCCTTCCAAAATGGACTATTTCCAATTCTAAGCCTCTCCCAAGTTATTTCAAATTGTCGGATGTTACAATTTATAAAAGTAATTTTATTAAATTTATTAATCAAACACAAATCTCTACTCTCCAAAAGTAATTTCACGAAAAATAAGTATGACCAAACATACTAGCATTATTTTCTAAGTAACCAGTTCCACTGTTGCAGTTGTTATGGTTAGGTACTATATATTTTAGGTGACCATACTATTACCTTTTTGTGGTATCAGTGAAAAATATTATATAAAGAAAAGTCTAACCCAAGATCCATTATATTATTTTATTTATATATTGGACATCTCAAGTGACTAGTATTTTGTAAAGTTAAGCAAAATGATACTCTTTCTACTCTTTGTAGCCTTTTCTATCCTTCTTATTTTTCTCTTCCTAAAGCCAAAAAGAGTAGCAAAAACAATCTGCCACCAGGTCCTATTGGCCTTCCATTCATTGGAAATTTGCATCAATTTGATAGTTTAGCCCCTCATATCTATTTTTGGAAACTTTCCAAAAAATATGGAAAAATATTTTCATTGAAATTTGGCTCTACTCCAATAATTGTAATTTCTTCAGCAAAATTGGCAAAACAAGTGTTGAAGACACAAGATTTAGCCTTTTGTAGTAGAGCTTCTCATCTTGGGCAGCAAAAATTGTCTTACAATGGTCGCGACATAGTCTTTCAACGCTACAATGATTATTGGAGAGAAATGAGAAAAATAAGTGTTCTTCATCTATTTAGTCACAAGAAAGTGAAATTATTTAGTCCAATTCGCGAAGACGAAGTCTCAAGAATGATCAAGAAAATATCTCAACAAGCTAGTGCTTCGCAAATCACTAATTTGAGCAATTTAATGGTTTCACTAAGTACTACAATTATTTGTAGAGTTGCTTTTGGTATTAGATTTGATGAAGAAGCACATGAAAAGAGGAGATTTGATGAACTTTTAGAAGAATCTGCAATAATGTTGACTAGCTTTTATGTTTCCGACTTTTTTCCTTCTTTAAGCTGGATTGATAAACTCACTGGATTAATAAATAGACTTGAGAATAATTTCAAGAATTTGGATGAGTTTTATGAAGAACTCATTGAGAAGCATGTTGATCCCAATAGGCCAAAATCCATGGAAGGGGACATTCTTGATCTTTTGCTCCAATTGAAGAAAGATAAATTAACACCAATTGATCTCACTTTGGAGGACATAAAAGCAATTGTCAAGGTAATCTTCTTAGTTATATATACACTCCCTCTGTTTAAAAAAGAATGATCCAATTTTCTTTTTAGTTTGTTTAAAAAAAAAAAGACCCATTTCCTTTCTTGACA